CACACACACACACACACCCAGACAAGCCAGCAGTCACAAAAAAAACAGTTGCAACAAGAGTACTGACTCACTTTCTGAGAGTCAGATTTCAGCTCTTTTGAATAATGCATGAGGAACAAGCTGTCAGGTGTGGGCTCACAGAGAAAGAGAAGAAGCTGACAAATATGCTTTTCCAGAGGCTCGCACTTACCAACGTTGGACATCTCAGCCACTCGTGCATAGTAAGGGCCGTGAAGGAACTCCGGTGGATTGTCGTTGATGTCCTGCACCTTGACAATGAACTCTGAGGGAGGCTCAAGGGGTTTGTTGGTGTCTCGATCCACAGCCTGGGCGGTCAGGGTGTACTGGGCCTGTTCTTCTCTGTCCAGTGTCTTTGTGGCATGAATGTTGCCCGTTTTGTCATCGATGACAAAAATAGTACCTGCTCCCTCCCCTGAAAGGATGTATTTAATGTTTCCAACTCCCGAATCCACATCCGAATGAAGCTGGAAGAAGAGAAAGAGCATGTGAGTGAGAGGTGTTCATCAACAATGAGCAGGTCAAACAGGAACGCTGCCTTGAAGTAGAAAGCTTTTTGGCTGGTCTTCAGCGATAGCATCTCCTCTATAGAGTATCACATTAACACACTCATATCTTACAGTAATATCCACCCTGTTGGCTGACTGCAGTGATAGTGAATTCAACAGGGAAACATCCCTCTACTAAATGCAAGTCTACGTTATTCTCAAGCGAACTTCATCATTTCATATTAAAATGAGAACAAACCTCATTTTTGTAATGTATGACTGTTTATATGTTGCACACATATAAACTGTATAGAGCTGATGTGAATCAAGGGATGTTGATTATGCAGGCTAAAATGAAATTAAACTTCTGACACAGAATATCCCCACTCAATAAGTCTAAACCTCTACTTGGGTTCAGGTGGGAATTTAAAGGCCAATGTGCTGCCGGTTCGCCATGTAACTATCCGGCAGGCCCATAAATCGTCCATTGCCCCTATGCAAGAACCATTGGGGACTGCACTGTTATTAAAAAGGAAATCCAATTTATAACCTTTAATCAAGTGGGCCACTGATTGCTTTTGTGGAACAAATGGAGGATATTGCAAGGACTCTGTCTGTAATGAAAGCCCCAATGACTTTCATTCACAGCATAACCTTAAGAGAAAAAAAAGAGAGGAAGGGAGATGGAGAACGAGGAGCAGGACAACATGAGATGGACACAGAAGCTTCTTGTTTCTACTTACCCGACCTACTAAGACGGGATCTGGGCCTGTGTACTCCTCAATGACAAAGAACTGGTTCCAGACCCAGCCTCGTTTGGAGCGGTGAAGCACCTGGCCCTCTTTGCCTCTCTCTCTGTGTCTGTGTAAAGAGAGATGGTGGCGGTGGCCACGCTCCCGTGGACCTGAGCCCCTGTATGTCGCTGCTGCTGCAGCGCTCCATAGTGCGGCCCCCAAACACAAGAAGAACACCTGTAGTCTCAGTCCATCCCACATCCTGCCCACACAGTCCACTTCCTCTGGGCCTTCTTGTTCACACCCCTCCTGTGGGTATCAAAATCCAGAGAGAATCCTTGAAATGGTGTCCACTGGATGGTGTGGTCTCTAAAGGGGTTGAGGGGGACAGGAGAACACCTCACTGGATTTGACTTCTGAGATTCATCACAAAGTCATACTTTTCCACTCTTTCTTCTGCTCCGATTCTGAAACAAAAAAGGAGAAAAACATCATTAGTCACATGAGAAAGTATAAGTAGGGTACAGATGTTTAAATTGTCTACATAAAACCTGGAAATACACAGAAAATGTTAGGATAATAAAACGTTTAATGACACTATGAGGCAAAATATTCTGCACTATTACTAGGTCACAAATCAAATAGAGAAAATGTGT